GGCAAAAGCAGGTCGCCAGGGCGCACAACAAGCAGGACGCTGCAGTGCCTGCCGGGAAGAGGCCCGGCACTGTAGGCACAAGAGGCAAAACGAAGACATTTAGGGTTCTTTCCGGGAACAATAAGGTCGGCAAAGATCAAAAACCCACCGCACGGAACACTTACGTGGTGACCGGTCGATTCGTTTGAGGCCGCCCAAATGAATCGACCCCTTGTTCTGGCGAACGTCACCCTCAGTTTCAGGGGCCGTGTCAAGTAGACCCTTACAAAACGACCTCCCCCTACAGTGCTTGTAGCCTCGTTTCTGAGGACGTGTCTCAAACGAGCAAGTCCACGCGGGTCCGACGCGGACCCGACGGACCAGCTCGAGAACCAGCGCGTGAGCCAGCAACGGACTGGACCAGGGTTCGGGCTTGAGTTCCCGTTATAGCGTTCGAATGGCACTAAAACGGTGCCTTCGATTTGGTCGCCGGACCAGTCCGCCCCTGGTCCGTAAACAGTAATCTCACGAACATCTCTTTGCGAATTCTCTAACTCTCGTGCTTTTCGCACAAGATTGTTCGGGAAGCTTCAAAAGGGCACATGAAAAAGGGTAACTCGATTTCTGTAAATAATTGTTTCGTCGTCACTGCTGAAATTCGCAGCGACTGTAGCAACACATCAAGCAGACCAGTCCGCTTCTGGTCCACGGCTGGTCTGCCAGAAGGGTCCGTCGGACCAGACTTCGGACCAGGGAGCAAATTTAAGCTACGGACTAGGTCCGCGCGGACCAGTCACATTGAGACACCCTCTGAAGTACTGAAACCCTGGAATGCAGCGAATGTGGCAAGAAGTGGGACCTTCAAATGAACAAAACAGTCGTACCGGTTAACAATTCAATTTATGAGGGGACAGAGACGAGAACTTCTCGAGTACCAAGAAGCATGTGGAGCGTGTAGTCGTAACTGATATAAAAAAATATCAAGGGCTAGTAAGATCAGAAAACTGTCCACAGTACTCGGGTTTCCCCAAACTTGTGGGGTGTTGCGATTCGCAGGTTTCCCACCTCTGCAAATAACTCTATAAATTATTCTCTTGAAAGTTTTCTTTCCAGAATTTGTGCCCGGGTTGGCCTCCCACCTGCTTGTGGCCTTCCGAACGTCCCGAGCCGATGCAGTGCACCGGCAATGACGCTGTTAGGGGAGGGCCCAACAGCATTCAGGAAGGACCCAAAAGTCGCCTTTCATGATAAGGGCTACCCCGAAAGGCAACCTATTTAAATCATCATCATTCGCCATTTCACCTTTTACTTCGTCGGCATTAAGTCCATTTGCCCCTCCATACAAGGCTTTTTACACCTTAGTTACGCGACAAGAGTTGTTTGGGCCCTTGTCGTGGACGAAAATGCGCTATGTTTCTGTGTCGGTACACGACGAATACAGCACTGTACTGCTTCACCATGAACTCACGTGGTACACCTAACCACCGCTATTTTCTTTCGGTCTATTTTCAACCCCCACGTGCGCAAAGGGGTATGCACCCCTCAAACATTTTTTACCAAGGGTTGTGTCGGACGTCATACGCTCTACGCAGAGTTAGTTCCTGACTCCTGAAAGCTGCGCAATGGGATGCGCAACAGGAAGCAGACTCCACACGAGCGGAAATTGTCTTACACTCGCCCGATTAAAATCTCCAGCGTCCAGCATTTGACGTCATTCGTAGTCCCCCATACCGAGGTTTCTAACAGAAAACCCCGAAAGCTGGGCAGGGTTTATATGAAAATCGGGAACAGTGCCAAGGTGGGAAGTTGAAAATAGCGGTGGCTAGGTGTATGTGACGTAACAGTCGGTTATAAATACACCCTGATTTTCACTATACACCTGATGCTCACCTCCTGCACGCGAAATTGCCTTTTCACCGAATGGAAACCTTGCACCCGTGGGTTTTGTGCCGTGACGTTGCACCCACGTTACAAGCACGTCGACCAATAAGAGCCACAGAAACGGATTGAAGTTTGACTGACGAGACCAGAGTCAAACAGTCAGCGTTGAGTTACAATTGTTTTTTATAAGCCCTTTTTGCCCGATGCGAATTGACGAAATCTTCAAGCGAAGCGAGAATCGCTTATAAGCCCAGAGGGTAAGGCGAGGTCGGGGGGCTCAACCGGGCATCGTGTGTATTAAGTCCGGCTGTAGTGAGCTGACGGTAAGTAGAAACCTTCGCGTCCGACACAGTGCAAGAACACTACATACAAGCACGATTTGCCGCACTCAGACATACCTGGGAGCAATGTTTCTTATGCAAAAAGTTGTGTACCTCTTGTGCATTTGCGGCCTAATGGGCATTTGCCTGCCAACTTTCAGGGCCCAGTTAATTTTACCAGCCCAGAAATTCCAGGAAAATGTAGCAAGTTCTCCCTTTTGTTCAAACATTGCAAAAATGAGTGTAAATCACACCACGTGGCAGGGCCACATCTGACTAAAACCAGTTCAGACATCACACCTTGTAGACACGGGCAAAAATGGGAATAAAAGTATAGTGGGAACATTGTTGTAATGCAGTCAACATTTCTGAGACGTATGTGACCGATGATGATTCTTGTTTATGCAATTGTATACGTTGGTTTCCGCAATATTGTGACAATGTGTCTTAGGACATTGCCCGTAAAAAAAACGTTTGCGTGACTACGTGTTGCGATCCATCCTGGTTGGTTGGGTTGGGTCGGTTCGGCCTAGGTCGACCATGGCTGACCCGACCTGACACGTTTAAAGACCTTCAGAAAATTGGCCAAAAACCATGCTGACCTCGGTTTTAACAAAGAATTGTTTAGAAATGTTGAACACCCTCATCGCACCTGCATGTCAATTGTCATCCAGCTTCCCTACCGGCTGTGCGAGTTGTGGCGAGAGCTGTAGCTCACCGAGCCTATTATTATTCAGACACATTGCGTTGCTGGATCTCCAATTCGTGGTGACACACAAAGACGTGTGAGATATTCATGTGACTCATTGCAACTGGATAGGGTTGGGTTGGGCCGGGCAGACTCAACCCGGCTCGGTTGGGTCGACCAGGGCCGGCGTGTTCCACGATGCAGCCTTCCTGGAAATGAGAGATCTGGGGTGGTCAACCCAATCTATCGGAGGGGAGGAGAGGCGAGAGAAAAGAGGAGAAGATGAGCCGAGAACGGCGGAAGAATGCGGCATTGTGGGATTGGTTTCAAAGAGCCGAGACGCGGGGAGGGGATGGGTGAGGAGGAGGAGGCAGCAGCGGCGGCGGCACTGAGACGACTTGACAACATCTCAAGTTCTCCTCTATACTGCCACACAGAGCACCCGGTTATGGTGAGAGGTGAGACGAGGATGGATGGGTTACGATGAGCCGAGAGGCGAGGAGAGGATGGGTAGAGTGTGGAGAGGGAGCAGTGGCACTGTGACGGCATGACAGCATCACAAGATCTCCTCTATAATGCCACAGAAGCATCGCCGGGTTACAGTGAGAGGCGGGACGAGGATGGATGGTTTACGATGCGCCTAGAGGCGAGGAGAGGATGGGAGGCGCCTAGAGGCGAGATGAGGAGAAGGCAGCAGCGACGCAGAGACGACTCGACAGCAGTGCAGAATGACGAGGTGACTATTGAGTCGACTCAAAAGTCACCTCGACAACACTGCAGAATCCCCTTCATATTGCCCTCAAGTCGAGCGGTTATGATGAGAGGCGAGGCGAGGAGGGCATGAGTGGGGAGAGAGGGCAGCGGGGCGACAGCAGCGGCACTGAGACGGCTTGACGATGAAGAGTGTATGAATGGGGAAACAGGTCCCCAGCGAATGGCCTTGGTCCCCAGCGAATGGCCTTGATCCCCAGCGAATGGCCTTGATCCCCAGCGATTGGCCTTGATCCCCAGCGAATGGCCTTGATATCGCCTTGAAGTCGCCGAGCTATGATGTGAGGCGGGGCGAGGAGGGCATGGGTGGGGAGAGAGGGCCCCGCGGCGACAGCAGCGGCACTGAAATGGCTTGACGCCACCTGGAGGTGACCTGGGGGCACACGAGGGCGGAAGAGAGAGAGAAGGGGGAGAGAGAGGGCGACAGTGAGCGGAGGGGAAAGGGAGAGCAGGTGGACAAGAGTCAGCAGCGGCACTGAGATGGCTTGACGCCACCTGGAGGTGACCTGGTGGGGAAAGGAGGGGGAGAGAGTGAGAGATGGGGAGTGATTGAGTGAGAGTGAGAGGTGCGAGAAAGGGAAAGAAGATGGTCTCGAGACAGCAGCGGCACTGAGATGGCTTGACGCCACCTGGAGGTGACCTGGGAAGAAGATGGTCTCGAGACAGCAGTGGCAGTGGAGCAGTCGCACCGGAAGGTCACACGGGCATTAAATTGATACATTTGCCAAATAACAAAAGCGGGTGTCTCATAGAGCCTGGTAACCAGGTTACTCTTGAAGAGGGTAAAATCTCTGAGAATGGTCTCACAGGCTGAGAGTGAATTTGTTACAACTGCCTGCCAGTGCCAGCTCAAGTATCGTTGGTGGCTGGTAACCCGGTTACCTTGAATAGGGTGAGAATCCCGAGTGTGATTACACATGCTGCCACCACCACTGCAGCGAATAAACTCAACTCCCTTCCCTCCTGTCCATGCACACATGCACACACAAACACACACACCAACACACACACAAACACACACACCAACACAAGCACAAACGGACACAAAAAAAAAAATGAAAGGTCGTTCAAGACCAATGCGAGTGGCTTACTCTTTCCCTGCCTTCTCGGCCCTCTTCGGCCCTCCTCGGCCCCTACAAACCTTTGAGAATTCTCAGGCTTTGAGGTCACTGTGCACCTCGCACTCTATCAATCATACACAATCCACACTCCCAACCGTACCGATTCCATAACCCACCCTTCTCCACCGCTCTACAAACCTCATCACTGTACACGATGACAATAGGAGAAAGAGGAAGACCATGGAGGCGAGGGTGGCGCAGATGGTGATCACCCCGTGCATATGAATCACCCATACCGCTCTATACCACTCTCCACCCTTTACCACCCCTCTCCGCCCCTTCCCACCCCTCCCCGCTACACCCCTTCCCACCCCTCCCCACCCCTCCACACACCTCATCACTGTCGCCGATAACAATGAGGAAGAAGAGGAAGACCATGGAGGCGAGGGTGGCGCAGATGGTGCAGAACTCGGCGTAAAAGGAGATTGACGCGTACGAGCACAGGCGCTCCCATGTGAGATCTAGCCCTGAAAAGCGGGGAAAAACAGTGGGGAAAATGAGGAAAGAGAGCGGGGAAAGGGCAGGGGAGTGGGGAAAGGGGCAAGAGGGGGAAAAGGGGCAAGGGAGGAAGACCATGGAGGCGAGGGTAGCGCAGATGGTGCAGAACTCAGCATAGAAGGGGAATGAAGAGTATGTGCACAGGCGCTTGCAGGTTGGTCCAGCCCTGAAGAGAACACAGGGGACGGCAAGGGAAAAACAGGAGGAATGGGGATAAACAGGAGGAATGGGGAAAAACAGGAGGAATGGGGAAAAACAGGAGGAATGGGGAAAAACAGGAGGAATGGGGAAAAACAGGAGGAATGGGGAAAAACAGGAGGAATGGGGATGAACAGGGGGGACGGGGATTCTGGGTGGGATACACCGGGAGGACGGCGGATAAACGATGGGGAAAGGGGAAAAGCGAGGGGGATGGGAGATTAACCGGCGGGACGTGGACTACTGAGGGGGAAATGAGGGATAGACGGGGACATGCGGAAAAGCTGATCAGTGGAGGGCGGGATAAGAGGAAGGGGGGGTGTGGGGGGGGGGGGAGGGGGGGAGTGGGAAGGGAGGAGGGGGGGAAGGGGGGGAAGGGGGTGGGCGGGCGGATGGGGGGTAGGGGACGGGCGGGGGTGGGGAAAACATCGGAGAGGAGGAAAAAAATTAGGGGAAAACGGGGAAGGATGGGGAAGATGAAGGAAAGGGGTACTGTTGCGCGACTCACTCTCGTGAATTCGAAGGCGATACGGCGAGCGGCACACTTCGCACGTGAGCGCGTCATGATCGCAGCCGTCCAGTCGCCGCCGCTCGATCCACTGCTGCAAGCACCGCAGATGAACGCGCCCCATCGTGCCCCCGCACGCGCATGGCTTCACCATCCGCGCCCCCCGCGCCTCCTCCCGCCGCGCCTCCGCTCCCCGCGCTTCCGCCCCCCGCGCTTCCGCCCCCCGCGCCTTCTCCCCCCGCTCCGCCGCCGCCGCCTCTCCCCGAGGAAATTCGCCGCGGCTCCGCGGCGCTCCCCCCCCGGCCCCACTTGCCCCCATCCCCGCCCCCGCCCCCGCCCCCGACCCGCCGACGTTGATTTTAAGCCCGAGATCCTCCGGGGATAAGTATTCTTCTTCGCGGCAAAACCGGCACTCAACTAAAAGCCGGTCGTCAGCTAAGAGCCGGTCGGAACTGCAGCTGTGGCCGAGCCGCCCTTCCTCCAACAGGGACTCTGCAAGCGAGGCATCGCCGAGCCTGTCTGTACTACCGAGCCGGGAGGCTCGGGACACCTGGGTGTCCTGCGCAGAAGGTTCGCTGGCTTGTCCGCTTTGCCGAGCCTCAGGCTCGGAGATGCGAGATTCTAGTGTGTCCCTAAAAGTCTCGCGGGTCGTCACCGCAGCTTCACGCGACACGTCGCTTGCTGAGCCTGTTAGTTCTTGGTCCGAACTACTTACTATCGGAGAAGTCAATAACGAGGCTCCATCTTGGGAACAGACAGCCAGACGATGAGCGGGCCCGACTGCCGTCGCCGTCGGTGCGGCTGTAGCGGCTGTCGCGTCAGATGCTGTAGCGGTTGGCAGAGTTGCGAAAATTGACGCGCGATGCGGGTCAGACATGGCAGAAAGAAAAATCGCGGCCGAAACAGCGACGCGGAAAGAAGGACGACAGGAGAAAACAAAACAGGACCAAGACGAAGTGAAAGCTATACTAGTAGAATGAGCTCCTCTAGTTTATACTACAGTAGTAAAATCGCTGCACCACTGATGTCATATTAGACATGAGGGAATTGTGGTGCTGATGAGCCGAGGAGCGAGGTATGGGTTCGGCGTGTCAAACGAGAGACACGAGAAAGTCGAGGAGGCGTGGAGAAGGAAAGATTGTGAGATTGGCACGAGTGTACCTGCGCTTCCACTTACGTAACGAAAAGCTAGCTGGTTTGTCTGGTGGGGCATGCGATCAGAAAAGAGCCGGGTCCGTCAGCTGTGCCATCATCTCGGAAGTTTCTAAAAGCGAAGCTCAAGTAAGTATTTTGTTTGATTCACAACATGGCCGAGCCAGCGAGACCTAGTGGGAGAGAGGCGAGCCATCACACCACGAGGACATGCGTGCTGCAGCGACGCGACAAAATCGGTGGCTGACTTTCTCGAATGACAGGGATTACGGATTTCGATTGTTGAGGTTCGCTGGATCCGAACCTTCCAATTACAAGAACAAATTCTTCCTCGACCTCACAAAAACTACTAAACCAACCGACGAACCAACAAGCCAGCCAGAGTGCCACTCGACCTATGAAGTTGAGCTCAGCAGTAATACAATAAATATGGCATTAACGGTATTAAGAAAAAGGTGAACACAAGGGAAACATGGGAATATGCACAAGATGAAAATGCAGGAAAGCCATGTCAGGAATTTAGCCACAAAAAAGCAGGCACACAAGTATCCTTCACCCCAAGATCTGCTTAAGCATGTTGAGTATATCAGGCTGCGAATTCTCCCCCATAGCTCCCTCCTCTCCCACACCATTCTCCTCCATTTCAGTCAAACCACCTGAACCATCCTCAATCTCCTCCGCAACCAAGCTTCTTCGCTTGGATAAGGGCCGAACCACCACACCCTCCATTGACAAATGGCTTGCCTCCATTGAAACCCCATCTGCAGCTGCACCTGCTTCCAGCGTCATCAGTCCCTCGAACTCCCCCTCCCCTCTGCTCCGCTTAGGAGACCGAACTCGTCTCTCTCCCTGTCCTCCATACTTCTGCCCTTGCTGCTGCTGCTGCTGGTGTGCCTGGTTTGCCCACAATGGTTGTTGGAACTGCCTACTGCTCTGTGTCTGTCCTATGCCAATATCATTCAATACCCCATCCTTCCCTTCAATGCCACCATTGCCACCAGCAGCGCCGGACACACCAACAGATGCCTGCGCCGAGTCTGCTTCCGAACCTGCTGGCCCCGAGCCTGAGTCCTTAGGCTGGGCAACTGCCGAGCGCAGCAGCAGCTCAGTAAGCTCGATCATCATCTCGGGCGGCAGAGGAGGGGAGGAGAGCATGGAAAAACGGTCGGTTAGATGCTGTTGCTGCAGCAGGCCGTGCTGCTGAGGGAGCTGCGGTGCTGCAGGGTCTACCCTGGCAGCACCATCACCAGCAGCAAAACTGACTGCTGCTGCATCTGCACGGACTGCCTCCGCAGCAGCTAATGCATGAGCTGCTGCAGCAGAAGGAGGGGGGCCGGCCACTTCCCCTGCGAATTCACTCTCGCTAGCAGAGGCGGTGCGGAGAGTGTGAGTGGTGGCCGTGCACGGGGAGCTCAGCCCACTGCCACTCTCACTGCCACTGCCACTGGGCTGCGCAGCGCACTCGCTCTCTCGGAACCGACCCCTTGAATCAGCCTGCGAAGCAGGGCCAGAAATACCAGTGGCTGCACCAGCACTGGCATCAGTTCTAGCACCAGTACCAGCAACGGTACCAGCAGCAGCAGCACCAGCAGCAGCACCACCAGCACCAGCAGCAGCAGCAGCCACAACGGCAGCCGTCCAGGGGTTCGCCGTCCCACAATCGGCTCCTGTAGGAGCAGGAGTGCCGAACCTGAACGGGCTGTCGAAAAAAGACAAGTGCCCGCTGCCACTGCCAAACGCTGCAAAACCGCTGTAACCCCCAAGGTTACCAACCCCAATACCAATGCCGGCGTTATTGAACCCAACAGCAGGGCCTACACCGGAAAAAACTGAGAGGTCAGCAGCAGCACCTGCACCAGCACCCCCAGCAACAACACCGCCAGCCACAGCACTACCAGCAGCAACTGCGACATCGTCAGCAGCAGCTGCAGCAGCAGCAGCAGCAGCAGTACCAGCAGCAGCAGCAGCAGCAGCAACAGCAACAGCAGCAGCAGCAGCAGCGGCAGAAGCAGCCCACCAGCCAGTAGCAGTGAGGTCCATAGGCGTCATCAGAGTTTCAAGGCCCAGGAGATCCCGAGGCATGCCAGGAGTGGTCAGTGCGGACGACGGGGCTGGAGCAACCGGGAAAGGGTCAGGCAGGGGAGTGGTTGCTGCTGGTGGGGTAGCCGGCCCAGAGGATTTGTGAGACTGCTGCTGCTGTGGGTGATTTTGATGTTGCCTTGGCGAGTCCTGAGTGGCTATTAGCTCCTCCAGCGGCTCGATGACAGCCGCATTGGACCGTTGCAGGCGACGTGCCGTGGGTCTCGCCTCCTGCTGCTGCTGCTGCTGCTGCTGCTGCTGCTGCTGCTGCTGCTGCTGCTGCTGCTGCTGCTGCTGCTGCTGCTGCTGCTGCTGCTGCTGCTGCTGCTGCTGCTGCTGCTGCTGCTGCTGCTGCTGCTGCTGCTGCTGCTGCTGCTGCTGCTGCTGCTGCTGCTGCTGCTGCTGCTGCTGCTGCTGCTGCTGCTGCTGCTGCTGCTGCTGCTGCTGCTGCTGCTGCTGCTGCTGCTGCTGCTGCTGCTGCTGCTGCTGCTGCTGCTGCTGCTGCTGCTGCTGCTGCTGCTGCTGCTGCTGCTGCTGCTGCTGCTGCTGCTGCTGCTGCTGCTGCTGCTGCTGCTGCTGCTGCTGCTGCTGCTGCTGCTGCTGCTGCTGCTGCTGCTGCTGCTGCTGCTGCTGCTGCTGCTGCTGCTGCTGCTGCTGCTGCTGCTGCTGCTGCTGCTGCTGCTGCTGCTGCTGCTGCTGCTGCTGCTGCTGCTGCTGCTGCTGCTGCTGCTGCTGCTGCTGCTGCTGCTGCTGCTGCTGCTGCTGCTGCTGCTGCTGCTGCTGCTGCTGCTGCTGCTGCTGCTGCTGCTGCTGCTGCTGCTGCTGCTGCTGCTGCTGCTGCTGCTGCTGCTGCTGCTGCTGCTGCTGCTGCTGCTGCTGCTGCTGCTGCTGCTGCTGCTGCTGCTGCTGCTGCTGCTGCTGCTGCTGCTGCTGCTGCTGCTGCTGCTGCTGCTGCTGCTGCTGCTGCTGCTGCTGCTGCTGCTGCTGCTGCTGCTGCTGCTGCTGCTGCTGCTGCTGCTGCTGCTGCTGCTGCTGCTGCTGCTGCTGCTGCTGCTGCTGCTGCTGCTGCTGCTGCTGCTGCTGCTGCTGCTGCTGCTGCTGCTGCTGCTGCTGCTGCTGCTGCTGCTGCTGCTGCTGCTGCTGCTGCTGCTGCTGCTGCTGCTGCTGCTGCTGCTGCTGCTGCTGCTGCTGCTGCTGCTGCTGCTGCTGCTGCTGCTGCTGCTGCTGCTGCTGCTGCTGCTGCTGCTGCTGCTGCTGCTGCTGCTGCTGCTGCTGCTGCTGCTGCTGCTGCTGCTGCTGCTGCTGCTGCTGCTGCTGCTGCTGCTGCTGCTGCTGCTGCTGCTGCTGCTGCTGCTGCTGCTGCTGCTGCTGCTGCTGCTGCTGCTGCTGCTGCTGCTGCTGCTGCTGCTGCTGCTGCTGCTGCTGCTGCTGCTGCTGCTGCTGCTGCTGCTGCTGCTGCTGCTGCTGCTGCTGCTGCTGCTGCTGCTGCTGCTGCTGCTGCTGCTGCTGCTGCTGCTGCTGCTGCTGCTGCTGCTGCTGCTGCTGCTGCTGCTGCTGCTGCTGCTGCTGCTGCTGCTGCTGCTGCTGCTGCTGCTGCTGCTGCTGCTGCTGCTGCTGCTGCTGCTGCTGCTGCTGCTGCTGCTGCTGCTGCTGCTGCTGCTGCTGCTGCTGCTGCTGCTGCTGCTGCTGCTGCTGCTGCTGCTGCTGCTGCTGCTGCTGCTGCTGCTGCTGCTGCTGCTGCTGCTGCTGCTGCTGCTGCTGCTGCTGCTGCTGCTGCTGCTGCTGCTGCTGCTGCTGCTGCTGCTGCTGCTGCTGCTGCTGCTGCTGCTGCTGCTGCTGCTGCTGCTGCTGCTGCTGCTGCTGCTGCTGCTGCTGCTGCTGCTGCTGCTGCTGCTGCTGCTGCTGCTGCTGCTGCTGCTGCTGCTGCTGCTGCTGCTGCTGCTGCTGCTGCTGCTGCTGCTGCTGCTGCTGCTGCTGCTGCTGCTGCTGCTGCTGCTGCTGCTGCTGCTGCTGCTGCTGCTGCTGCTGCTGCTGCTGCTGCTGCTGCTGCTGCTGCTGCTGCTGCTGCTGCTGCTGCTGCTGCTGCTGCTGCTGCTGCTGCTGCTGCTGCTGCTGCTGCTGCTGCTGCTGCTGCTGCTGCTGCTGCTGCTGCTGCTGCTGCTGCTGCTGCTGCTGCTGCTGCTGCTGCTGCTGCTGCTGCTGCTGCTGCTGCTGCTGCTGCTGCTGCTGCTGCTGCTGCTGCTGCTGCTGCTGCTGCTGCTGCTGCTGCTGCTGCTGCTGCTGCTGCTGCTGCTGCTGCTGCTGCTGCTGCTGCTGCTGCTGCTGCTGCTGCTGCTGCTGCTGCTGCTGCTGCTGCTGCTGCTGCTGCTGCTGCTGCTGCTGCTGCTGCTGCTGCTGCTGCTGCTGCTGCTGCTGCTGCTGCTGCTGCTGCTGCTGCTGCTGCTGCTGCTGCTGCTGCTGCTGCTGCTGCTGCTGCTGCTGCTGCTGCTGCTGCTGCTGCTGCTGCTGCTGCTGCTGCTGCTGCTGCTGCTGCTGCTGCTGCTGCTGCTGCTGCTGCTGCTGCTGCTGCTGCTGCTGCTGCTGCTGCTGCTGCTGCTGCTGCTGCTGCTGCTGATTATGCTGTTGTTGTTGCTGATGAATCTGGTTCTGCTGGTGCGGGTATGATTCCCCAGCACCAGCCTGAGCGTCCGCACTTTCTTGCTCATGCAGCAGCAGCGTTCCCTGCGTCTCTTGAGCCCCCTCACACCGCTCTGTCCCTTGTGACTCCTCACTCTGCTGCATCTGCTGCTCCTGGCACGCGGGAAGCACGCTTGTCGTGCCGTGATTGGCTGTCGGGTCTGACTGCCCTGACACGTAGTCGGCAAGAAGCTTCGAAAAAGCCTCTGCGGATTCGTTTCCTCGACCTCTCTGCCCACTTTCCTGCCCGTTTTTCTGCCCGCTTGCCAGCTGCGCCTCTGTGCTGCGCTGGGCCCCCCCAACCTGCCCTTGGCTCTCCTCTTCCCCTTCGCCTGCGTCCTCCATCACAGCGGATTGCGCCAAGCTTTGCGCTCTTGCCAGTGTTGAAACGCGCCCGTCAGGATTCGAACCCCGGCCTGTAGTCACGTCAGACGGGCAAGAATTGCCCCTTGGGATTGCTGGCGAGTTGAACCGCGTCAGGCTCAACAGTCTCGAATTCAGCGGGTTCGCCAAAGCTTCCGAATCTGCAGCTCCCGAACCTCCTCCGATTTGACTCGTGAGACTAGAAATGGCTTTCGAACCTGCAGCGCTTTGGTTGGATGAATCTCCAATAGCTACAGTAACTGCCCTGTCAACCCTGCGAGGCCCTTTTTTCAAAACTTGCACAGCTGCGCTCTGAAGCACGGGCAGGGGCGCGGATTGAGACGACCGGGCAGAAAAAAGTTTCCGAAGGCTGTTGAGAGCTGAACCAGGCGCAGGCCCAAGGGATCCGACTGGAGCAATTCCGCTTCCGCCTGCACCAGAAGTGGCGGAAGCAACGGCGGAAGCAACGGCGGAAACAGCAGCGGATGTAGAAGCGGAAGCTCCTGCGGCAACAGCAGAGGTCGTGGTCGTGCTCGCGGAAGGTTGGCGCGGACTGTTGGGAAAGTGAACCTGTGGAAGAGATAAACGCGGGGACGCGAGCGGAGACTGCGGAACGGAGCCCATTCCCCCCGTCTCCGCTCTCAGCCCAGCGCTTAACGGGAAACTTCCGCTTCCGCCAGAATCCAAAATCATCCGCTGCTGCTCTGGCTCTTCCTCCGGTTCCGCTTTTCCCACCTTTTCCGCTCTTCCCGCCGCTTTTTCCGCATGCGCTTGGAGCGCGTGACCCAATCCCCCTGGCGCTGTTAGGCGCCCCCCGCTGCCTCCGCCGCGCTGCCCAGGCTGCGCCTGCTGCGGAAGCGCTCCGCGCGTGTACACGCGCACGACCACCCACTGCGACAACGTCATTCCCGACGGGCCGCTTGCGCTCAGCCAGCCCGACGCGGACGGGGACGGCGGCGCGGCGATCGTGACGTCAGCGGTGCCGGCGGAACTGCCGGCCGGAAGCATTAGGCTGGCGATGTCGTCGGAGCTGTCGGGTAGGCGGTACTCCTGCATCACCCAGTCCGTCTTCTCGCCGGCTGGAGCACGCCCGCTGTGAAGGGGAATTGGAAAACGGGGGGAATGGGGAATGAGGGGGGCGGAGAGGAACGACAGGAAAAGAGAAATTAAAATTTTCTACTCTTGTCGCATAGTGAAAGCAAGAGACGTTATGAGTGGATATCAACTCTCGAACGACATGTGACGCTACTCCCAGCTAAACTTCGCGTCCCTCCACGAAACCCTAATCAAAATGGAACGCGAAAGGGAGAGGGGAGGGGGGGGGGGGGGGGGGGGGGGGAAGGGTTCGAACAAAACCAAATTTCCGAAAATTGAACAAAACGAGCGTCAAATGAAACGCGTTCCAAACGCTGAACCGAACCAAGACTGGTTGGGCGGCACACGAAGAAAAGGGTCTCTTTTCAATCAACCCCGTTACACGATGAACGCGAGTCGTCCTTACCGGTAAAACACGAGCGTCTTTTTAAAGCCAATAACCGTCGTCGCGCACGAACCTCCACCTCCACCGCCACTGCTGGAGCCCCCTCCTCCTCCTCCGCGATTCACGGCGAACACGGGCCGGTCTTTCCCAGTCGCCTTCCAATAACCCGCTGGCGTGGCGCGATTCGACCGGAGTCCGGACGGGTATTTCCGGTCGCGCGGCGTAAAAAAGAACCACTCGTCGTTCCCCATTAGAGGACTCGAAGCGCGCGAGGGGAGATCCCAAGGTTCGAATTTGTACAAGTCGATGTCGCCCATCACATTGAAGCTTATGCGACGGTTGTCCACGCGTCGCCGAAGGTAGTAACACAGAAGCTCCTCGTCCGTCGGGTGAAAGCGAAACCCGGGTGGTAACATGCTGTCGTCGTCGTCATCGCCGTCGTCCGTCGCCATCGCAGGCGTAGCCTCAATCGCCGCGGCAGAAGGCGGCGCGACGGGTGACAGCAGTGGCGGGGGTTGCGGCGAGTCGAGCTGCGGCTGTTGCTCCCAGTCGGGCGCCGGTGGAAAAATCCCCAGTCCAACTGGCACCATGGGAAGAGTTAGAGTCGCCAGGTTGTCAAATTTCGCGCCGTCGTGAATGGTGGAGGCAAATTGCCGCCGCAGTCCACGTTTTTGTTTTTCGTTTTCCGTCCTTGGCGACGATACCTCGTCTCCGAGAGTTACTTAATATTCGCGACCGTGGTGATTTCAGTATTTAAGGTTCGCGACGATAGCAAATCCGAAATTTATGCATGCGATAGTAAAATGACGGCTTTATACGGATGAACAGATGGCGCCGGAGCGCGGGGCGCGATTGGCACGTGTTGAGAAAACTCTCCTTCGACTTTCCGCAATGTTGCGTGTGATTAAAGCAAGGTCTGGTAGTAATCGAGGGCGGTAGATAAAAGGGGATCGTGGACAAACGAGTGGGACCCGCAGAAAACCGTAGGGCGACTCGTGGGAAAATGCGGTGCTTGTACTAAAGGAAGCAAACACCCAGCGCGAAAATATTGCGTGTGTCGAGCGCGAGAAACTTCAAGCGTCGGCCACGGCGCTTCTTTTCCAGTGCATAGCCAGTTGGCCGACCATGTCCCGCAAATATCGCGATTGTGTGGGTGGGGGCTTCTGGGAGCAGTGGCTGCTCTGACTTGCACTTTGCTGTGCTGGAAGGAAAAGAACTCAAGTCCATGGTTATGAACAGTGGGGAGGGGACAGAAGCACGCACACAGTCGAACTGTGAGGAGAGCTGAGCTGACTCCCTCATGCAGCAAGCAGAACACGTAAGTCGGCCGATCGGATGGAGAGAGTGAGCCGCGGGAAAGGGCCCCCTCACATCACAGGTGGCGGCAGGACGGGGGATGCTGAGGACACAGGAAACGGAAGGCGATGAGAAGGTGGATGGAGGAAGAGCAGCAGCGGCAAGCAGAAGTGCTTATGCGTTATGAATTATACAAAGCAGTAAAACCAAACAAAATATCTACCTAATTCAAACATAATTAATTTTAATTTGCGTTGGAGTGAATATTATGATAAATTGGTAACATTTCGCTACAATTAGATGTCGCTCGCATGTTGGAATTTTAGCGTTACGAAAAATCATGTATTCGTGACTGTTTGTGATTCCACGAAATTCCAGCGGGTGCCCGAATTTCGGAGGGCAAGGGCGGGAAAAACGGGTTAGGGGGGCGGGGGGAAAGGGGGTCCATCCAATTAAGAAAAACGCTAACGTGGCAAAAGGGAAGCAATTTGGGTCGATTCATTTGAGACAAACGCGATTTCCGCCGATGCGCGCGATTTCGCCGAAAACAAGTGGAGATGAAAGTAGAAGTATTGTTTTCAACAACACCCTCCACAACCAAGCCTCTGTCAGAAAAAACTGTTCCCTCGACCAGGTTCGAGTCAAAAGAGAGTGTTGTGTGTCAGTGATCACACCAAACGTGATGAAGGTGCCGAGTTCAAATAGATTAAAACAATCACAATTTCTGACAGGGTGTAGGAGAGCTAGCGGGCAGGAAATTTCGGAACTGTGGACTGCTAAAACTGGGGCAGCCGATCATCAAGCACACGAAGCCATCACGTGGGCGGAGAGGGAGGGCGCGAAGAGTGGACGTTGAAAAGGGGAGACTCAGGGAATGATGGGATGGGATGGGAATGAAGGGGGGCGTCAGGCAGGTTCATACTGTACCATCGCATGGGAGGGAGAGGTACGTTTTCGCGCATTGGCGCAAAGAAACAATCTTTTCCCCGCACCCTGGCACTTTCGCCCAGCCAATGCCATTAGGGGCTTGGTTGGGGAGGATGAGCGGAGCTGGGGGTTTGTTTGGGAGATTACAGGAGCTGCGGAACAAGCACAGCGGCCAATAGAGACGGGATGACGGGGGAGGCGAACACTCTTCCATAACGGCAAATGCCGTAGCATCAGGCAACATTTGCAGTATCTAGCCGCCCAGGAGGATGGCAGACAACGTCAGCCATCCTCAGTGAAGCACCCGTGCAGAGACGATGACGTTGCGGTTTTGGAGGCCGCCACCAATCTCACCTTCCAAATTTTTTAAGAACATGCCTTCAAAATATACCTTGCTCTACTTCCCCATTTTCGCGTGGAAACCCCGTTTTCGCGCGACAGTGGGTGTATCTCTCGCTATACTTTTAGAAACATTTTAATCACTAAACTTCTAATGTCTGACCGGGATAGGTCAACTATGATGTCAGCGTTGGAGTAGATCGCTCGTCGCAACTTCCACTCACCTCCGCGCCTCGCAGCGATCTGTCTCGAACCACGTGCGGTTGCAACATGACTTGCAGTCCCTTGCACTGTGGGAGTAACGCACCAACAGCCTCCACCTGATTTGTCATCGAAGAGGACAGTGATCCGAAATTAGCTCCCACACACCACAGAAACTGAATAGCACGGGACTTGTGCGCATAAATGCTTTGCTGGCTCAAAACTGGTTGATTGTGCAGTGGCATCTTACTGCATGGACACAGATGTCGTAAATATAGAATTCCAGTGTTGTAAGTGCAGAGAAGTCTTATCTGTAGAGTAATTTTACCACATCCCACTTAATTCATTATACTATTGAACACAGACAGAAACCGAAAACAACTGTATCGAATGTACAGCCTATAAGATGCCCCACTTTAGTTCCAGTGTGGTACATAGGCGAGACAAACAAGTGGCTGCACTCAGTGGATACTCCGAAACTGATGGTGTGAAGTGACATAAAAGGGGAAAGAAGGAAGAGGCAGGAGGAAAGCGAAACATTCGTGAAGGACGAAAAGGGGAAACAGAACCGGGGCAGCAGACGACGAAGGGAAGAAACAGTGCAAGAGACACACTGAAGAGGAAAAGTTTGAGAGTTTACAAAAGCAACGGACACGATAGAGGACATAGGACGCGCCCCCTCCCACGATCGATCGTGCAATATCGATCGTCCACCGCACTGGAAACCCGCTTGATGCATTTTACAACCAGCAGAACCTCCTTCAACCCCGCCAAAAATCGATCCTGTGCAGGATCGATCGAGGGAGAGGACGCGTCCTTAGGGCTAGATGCGTCCACATCTCAGCTCACCTGCACTCATCTCGTCCATAGCCACTGCTGATTGGCGTACACCAACATCACTCACTCACTCCCACTACCACCCCTTCCCCCCCCATTCCATTTCCATCCCCTCCCCACTACAACTCACCAGCAATCATCTCGTCCACATAGTCACTGCTGATTTCACCATCCCTGTGCGTTTTTAGGGCATATCCAGGTTCAGGTCATGAGCACTGTTCCGGGCATGCGCGATTTGCGGATGACCCAAACAACATAAAACGCATGTTTGGGTCATGCGACCCACAAATTGCCGCGAGGGTTTTCGCGCCAAAATCGAGCTCCCCACAACAGTCGCATCCAATGGAGGGATGCCAGAACATTTCGAAAGGTCATTAGCGAGACCCACGCAAAACCACGCGACACTCACTGAGAAAACACATCCGTCAAAATTCCCAGAGCGAATTCCCAAATGTTGGGAGCGCGACGCGGGAAATTTTAGACACACTCGGGGTCAATTTGCCGAGTGGTTGGGTGCAGAGGTGTAAGACGTGGGACACTGCCCACGTGCGACACTCGACTGCCAATCGACAAAAAGATGGCAGTAACACCACAATCGTGCAACCAGGTGATTGGTTGTGGGTGGGTCGTGCACGTCACTCGCACAACACCTACACATTGACCCAAAGCTGGGGCCGCGCGCGGCTCGGCAGCCCACTTCGGGTCATGCGCAAATCCCGCATGACCCAAACAGTAGCCAGAACAGTGCTCATGACCCGAACCTGGATACGCCCTTAGACTACCCAAATCAACCCATCGTCATCCCTCTCAACTCACCTGCAATCATCTCGTCCACATAGTCACTGCTGATGTCACCGCTAGCCATCGCCCCCACCTGATATACCAAAACGAGGGACGAAGGGGGAGGGGGGGAGGAGAAGCATACTTTAAGCATGGCACATACCCTACAATGCATGAGTTAGTCGGGAAAAAAAAAAACACAAACACATATTGGTCATAAAAGGAAATACTTCGAGAAGAAGAAAAAAACCGAGTGTCCTAGAGTGGGGATGGAGGTGGTGGGTGGGAGGGGAGGGGAAAGCGGGGAGGGGGGGGTGGGGGTGGAGGGGGAGAGAGTGTGGAGGCAGGGGGGAGAGGAGGGAGGAGGAAGAGTGGAAGTGAACCATGAGTTTTCTTAAGCTCACCACAAAGACGAGTGTCTCTGAGTTGGTTGTCTTCAGGAACTGACGCAGATGCACCACCTTCTGAGCGCTGTACTCCAAGCCTGATGAGGGGGGGAGCGGAAAGGGGCGGAAGGAGGGGAGAGGAGGGGCGGAGGGAAGAGTACTTTAACTAGAGGCCAAAAGGAATTGCCGCAGATGCACCACCTTGTGTGCGCTGTACTCCAAGCGTGATGAGGGGCGGGGAGGAGAGAAGAGGGAGAAGAGGGGAAGAGGAGGCACAGGAGAGAGCGAGAGGAGGCGTGTTGGGGCATCAAAGGGAATTGACGCAGATGCACCACCTTGTGTGCGCTGTACTCCAAGCCTGATGCAGGGAGTAGATGGGAGAGAAGGAGGGGACATTCAAAGTCGAGGTGGGCAGGAGTGGTGCTTTTGAGAATTCTCAAAGGCGGTTGTTGCAGTGATTCGGATTCAGGGCAGCATACTGATGCGCTCACCTATTCTGCGGCAGCCCGGAAAATAAAAAAAGTACTTGGTGACAGGAGGATGCCTGATGACCCTTAGGAGCTTACCAGAGGTGGGTGGGAGAGTGATTCAGACTCAAACCGTGGGTGGGAGAGTGATTCAGACTCAAACCGTGGGTGGGAGAGTGATTCAGACTCAAACCGTGGGTGGGAGAGTGATTCAGACTC